TGGCCGGATTGCTTTTGTCTTCAGGAGTTCCCACAGACACCCAAGTCAGATGAGGATCAGATGCTCTCAGGCTTTCTCCTAAGGTCTGGATCCCTCCAGAAAAGATGTTGTCCTCAGGAATTTGGGGGTTATACTGGCCTGGGAGCAGGGCCCAGGAAAGATGCTGGTCTTGGGCAGCTGGTGGCTGTGCCACCCAGGGATGCAAAGGGAGGTGGGAGCGGGAAGAGGCCCCAAGGGCTCCTGGAGACTACAGGGAGGAACTGGGTTGGTCTGGATGCAAAGGATCAGGAAGGAGTGGTGGGTCCAAGCAGAGCGGTCAGCCCAGTATCTGGGGTGCCAAGACAAGAAGTGGGCCAGTACCCAGGCTAGGAGGAGAGATGGGTGCGGGGGAGCTTGGAGGGTGAATGAGGCTAGGGGAGTCAAGGCACAGTGGGCACTGATGGACTTACCCAAGAGAGAGGCTGGCGGGTTGTGCAGCCCAGGAAAGCAGCTAAGTTAATATTTTTATTTTATGTATATGAGTGTATTGCTTACATGCAGGTAGGTGCACCCATGTCATGCAGTGCTCAAGGTCAGAAGAAAGTATTGGATACCCTGGAACTGAAGTTACGAACGGTTGTTAGCTGCCATGTGGGTGCTGGGAACTGAATGTGGGTCCTGTGCAATAGCAACCAGTGCTCTTAACTTCTGAGCCATCTCTCCAGCCCCCCAAAAATTTTTTTTTAATTTTTTTAAGTACACAAACTTTGGATAGAGCGGTATTTCCTCAGAACTCTGTGATACTGACAAAACTCTCTGGGACTTACCAGCTTATTTTTTCCATAACAACTCAACAAATATTGCCATGTCCTATAATTTCCATTGGAAATGAAGAAATTGGACTAAGTTAATTACTTTCAGGGATTTTTGTTTTCACTGAAAATATCCTTAATTTACTAATTTGGCAGAAAAATATAATTGGAAGTAATTAGCATCTTTTCTCATCTCTCAAAAAAAAAGTCAGAATGAGTACTCTATTTATTTGGTTGGTTGGTTGGTTGGTTGGTTGGTGGTGCTGAGGATTGAATCCAGGTCCTCAAGCTTAACAGACTTTATTACTGAGCTGCATCTCTAACCCCAAGAATGATTCTTTCTCTGTCTCTCAGAGAGAGGCTTTCATGTACCTCAGGCTAGCCTCAGACTCCATATGTAGCCAAGGATGACCATGAACTCCTGACTCTATTGCCTCCACCTCCCAGGTTCTGGGATTACAGGCATGTACCACTATGCCTGGTATGTGGGGTAGTAGCGATTAAGCTCAGGACTTTGTACATGTAGGCAAGCACTCCATAACAGAGCTCCATTCTTAGCCCTAGAGTAAGAATATATATTTTTTTAAGTAGTCCATTTATTTGGGCTGTAGAGGTGGCTCAGTGTTTAAGAGTACTGGCTGTTCTTGCAGAGGACCCGGGTTTGATTCCCAGCACCCACATGGTGGCTAACAACTGTCTATAACTCCAGTTCCAAGGGAATCCAGCGCCCTCTTCTGACCTCTGTGGGCGTTGCACAGCATGGGTGCACTTACATGCAGGCAATACACATACACATAAAATCAATAAACATAAGTAAAATATTTAAAATATTCCATTTATGTATGTGTGTATGTGACATACACACATGCTTGAATGACACATATGTGGAGGTCAGAGGGCAGCTTGCAGGAATTAGTTCACTCCTATGATATGGCACCCAGAGATTGAACTCAGGCCTTCCGGCTTGATGACAAACACCTTTACCCACTGAGCCATTTTACCAGCCCAAGGGCATGAAAACATTTTTTAAAAGAACATTGTTGAAATATAATTGACCTATAATAAACTGTGTACATTTACAGTGCTCATGTAATTTGATAAATTTTGACACAAATATATACCTGTGAAACTATTGCCATAATCAAAATAACAAATAGTCACAGATGGCATAATTTCTCAGGTATGGATTGATCGCTTATGCAACAGTGATCCCATGAGTTGCTGTCACCTCCTGATTTCAGAGCCATCTTAGTATGTGTAAGTACATTTTATGGTATTTACATAACATAAATCACCCAATAATCTGTTTCTCAGAGTATACCAAGTTGTTAAGTGACCAATGATTGATTGTAAACCTATAATTCCTAAAATGTTCCTTTGTGTCCCCGGCAATCCCTTCTTCCTGCCTACTCTAACTACACTTTCTAAAATTAAAAAAAAAAAATAGATTTAATGTATATTTAGTAATAATTCTCAAACATCAGATTTATTTTTCCTCTGACAATATGTTTAAACCCATCTCCTCCTCCACCCCACCTCACCCTCACCCTCACCCTCATCCCTGGTATTTTCATAGCAATGTTCACCTAAAGTTGGACTGTGGATTCCAAATGGCTAAGAGTTAAGTAATGATGAGGGAGTGGATATGAGGAATTCTAGACAGCCAGGATCCAGACTTTTTTGAGAAGTAATAAGACAAAAACAGAACAGGGTTCTCTGGGGCAGGGTGCTGGGAGGATGAAAGGGTTGCCTGGGAGGGGTGTTTTAAGAAGGCAATTTAGGTATGTTTATAGGATGATAAAGAAGCTAGCAGAGGAGGATGGTGTGGTGGAGAGAAGATGCCTGGAGGGAAAAGATCAAGAAAACAGTTGTGGGCAGTGATGAGTAAAGTAATCGGTTGCACTGAGAACAGTGACAACCAGTCCTGAGCACAGCCACTGCAAGTGTGCGGCTGTTCATGTCTGTATGTGACAGAAACCTCTTTATTTAGTTGTTTTTAGAAGTAGTCATTTTAGCACCGGGGATCTATGTAGCTCAGTGGTACAGCATACATGAGGTCTTGGGTTCAAATCCCCAGTAAAATACACACACACACACACACACACACACACACACACACACACAGAGACCACAATAAATAAAATGATCATTTCCACAGATTAAACTTGTATTTAGTAATCACTGAATTTTTTTTTTCTTCTAGGTGATGACTGTAGCATCCATGACCTTTTTTGTCATTGCTCAGGCCCCTGAACCATACATTGTTATCACTGGATTTGAAGTCACTGTTATCGTCTTTTTCATAGCTCTGTATATGTGCAGACTTGATAAACTGATGAAATGGTTATTTTGGCCTTTGCTTGTAAGTGTTCAGTTTCATCCTCAAGCTTTACCTATTTTTTCCTGCCATAGGGAGACATTGTAATCAACTATTTAATTCCCTTAAACCTTTAAGGTGATCTCTCTCACTACTAAGGGCTCTGTGTTGTCTTTGGAGAAGGTCCTCAGGGATCCAGGGAAGCCACAGAACATAAATTCTCTTCACTCCATCTACCAGTAGGTGTGGCTGACCTTTCTGTCTGGAGAATTCCTTAAGTATACATGTTCTAAAGAAGTTCACATTTAGGGGGCTAGAGAGATGGCTCAGCGATTAAGAGCACTGACTGTTTTTGCAGAAGACCTGGATTCGAATCCCAGTACCCACATGGCAACTAACAACCATCTATAAGTTCAGTTCCAGAGGATCTAACACCCTCTTCTGTCCTCTGCAGACACTGCAGGACACAGGTGCACTTACATGCAGGCAATACACTCATACATATTAAATAAAATAATAATAATAAATTTAAATTTAGGATCATGTTAATAAAATTAGAGTGTATGCTTAATCTTTACCTCCTTCTTAAATGTACATGACTATAGTCTCAGAATTGGGAGACAGAACCAGAGGCAGATACACAAGCAAATAATCTTGCCCATCCCTAATCACTAAATAAAAGTCAGAAACTGTTTGAGGAAGTTGAATAATAGACAGTGCTATCTTATTTGCAAATGTCTACAGTCACTCATGTTAAGTAAATTTTTTTAATTTATTAATTTTATGTGTATGGGTGTATTGCCTGCACGTATGTAAGTGCACTCATGTCATGCAATGCCCTTGGAGGTCAGAAGAGGGCGTCGGATCGCCTGGAACTGGAGTTATGGATGGTTGTTAGCTATCATGTGGGTGCTGAGAACCAAACCTGGGTCCTCTGCAAGAGCAGCAAGTGCTTTTAATAGCTGAGCCATCTCTCCAGCCCCAATGATAAGTAATTTTAACTTATCTTACTGACTCATAGTATTAGGAATGGCTACTACAGCTGTCACAGTGGACAGATGGAAATTATTAGTTCAGATGTATGTGGCCCTTCCACCTGGAACTACAGAACTGGTTCTAGCAAAAACCGGTTGCCTTTACCTCTCCCTTAAGCCTCATCCCAACATCCTGTCTCTGTGGGTCTCTCCCCTGCACTGTCCTTCCCCCTTTGGCTACATGGGTGGTTGCTACATCCTATTCTACCAGACTGCCATACACGTCCTGTGTCCTCTTAGATTCTGAAGTGCTGATAACTCCTATTAAGGAGAGAGGGCTTTGGAGCTGTTCTCAAACCAGAAGTATGCTTTTGAATGGTATCTTCTGGAGCCACCTTTGGAGGCAAGTGATAAGCACCTCAAGCTGGGGGTATATAGCTCAGTTGGTAGAGCACTTGCTTAGCATGCATAAAGCCCTGGGTTCAATCCCCAGCATAGCATTAATAGGGCCTGGTAACACACACTTGTAATCCCAGCAACTCAGGAGGTGGAGGCAGGAAGATCAGAAGTTAAAGGTCATCCTTGACTACATAAAGAGTTTGAGGCCAGCCCTACATCAAACTAAAAATAATAAATTAAAAATGCAAATAAACCCCAATTAGCAGTGACTCTCAGAGATCATTTAAAGCCTGTTATCATAATCCATTCATAAAAAGGATAAAGGTGTGAACTGAAGTTATAGCATACTGGAGAGGAAGGAGTATGGTAATGGGGTGTCAGTCCTAATGACTGGGTACAATATCCGCCATTGGTGATTTGGTACTGGGGATTGACCCCAGGGCATCTCGTGTGCTAGACAAAAGCTATACACCTCTGAGCTACATCCCCAGCCCTCTTTTTACTTTTTATTTTGAGACAATTTCTCACTAAGTTGCCCAAATTGGCCTTGAACTTTGTTTTCCTGCCTCGGCCTCCCAAGAATAAATAACCACCTTGGGAGAATACTGTGGTAGGAGATTAGGCTAAAGAGGGGGTTGGTTAGCCTAAGGAGTTAAGCCACCAGATTTTCCTCATTTGTAGGATCTTCAGGTGGTTTGCCTAGAGCAGCAGTTAATAGAAAAGTTGTGTGATGGAGCAGAAGCTGGAGAGATGACTTGTGACCAGGGAGGCCACCACTGCCTGAAGGAAATTTGAGGGCCAAAGGGAATGAAGAGATGCCAGAGGCTCTTTTACCACAATTACAGTGAAGGAGGCAGCTGGCTGAGGACTAAGTACAGCACATCTGGAAGCAGAAGGCAGGCAGCTGATAACATTCTTATGCCCTATGGCCAATACCCACCGATTAGAAGACCCTGGGTCATCTGTCTGCACTCAGATCTCTTATCCCATTCACCATCCCAGACACAATCTGTAGAGCAGAGCTCTGTGTCCCCTCAAGTGCTACTTCAAAGATAGCATTCTGAGTCAACTCAGGACTTGGAGGCTCAACATTCCTGTGAAATCTCCATTTTTTGTAATTAAATTTGAATTCCACTTCATGTAATATTGATGTTGGCTTTTTGATATAGAAGCCATGCTTTGAGTCAGGTGTGGTGACTCATACCTATAATCTCAAACGTGCAGAAGACTGAGGCAGGATGATCGCCTTTGAGTTGGAGCTCAGTCTGTGCTACAGAATAAAATTCTGTCTCCCAAAACCAACATAAACAAATACAAATGTTTTAAATTTCCACCAGGGAACATAGACTTCTGGGATGAGCACTTAACCCCCCCAACCCCTCATCTTGTGGTCCTCTGTACTCCCTGGGGTCACGGGGGCCATTGCCTTGAAGTGGAGCAAAGTATCCAGCCAAAGGGGAGGTTACCCAAGGCAGCCAGACTCACGATCTCCTGTGGGTTTTTTTTCCTTCCTCAGGATCGACCCTCTTCCTACTTTGTTTTTAATAACTACTTTTCTAAGAAGCCAGAGTGTTGAAGTTTAGTTCTTCTGTGTCAATTCCTTCCTCCTTCCTTCTCTGCAAACTTGCATAGACCATTCCATGATAAAGACTATTTTTACATAGTATACACATCTAACAACAAAAAATGAAAATTGTACTTCTTAGTAAAAGTACTTCATTTGGGGGAATTATTAAATGAAATAATTGCCCAGCCATTGCATGTGGGTGGGGTTTAGCCTGAAAATTACCATTTTCTCTTACATGCGTGTGGTTTTCCATTTCAGTTTTGGTTGGTTGGTTGGTTGGTTGGTTGGTTGGTTAGTTAGTTTTTTGAGACAGGGTCTCCCTGTAGCCCAGTTAGCCTGGAACTCAATGTAGATGAGGCTGACCTCAATCTCACAGATCCACCTGCCTTTGCCTCTCAAGTGCTGAGACTAAAGGCGTGCACAACCATACCTAGCTCACATTTTCTACATTTTCTATTTCATTATTGAAAATGAACATTCCGGCTTCCTGGGGAACCCCAGCTACTCTATACCTTCTACATGATACATCCTAATCAGAGCTGTTCTCCCTCCAAATACATTTTTGTTAAGTGAAAAAATAAAAATTTAAGTACCTGATGTGCTATGGGAAAGAGAACCACTAGGTGTCATTGTAGATTGTAGATCAAATATTATATAGGTATTATTTTACTGTGGCATTTTAGTTTTCTTAAAGATATGTGCTAAATGTAATAAAATGCAGCATTGAAACAGCTCAGGGAGCTGAACCTTCGCCCGCCCTTTTGTAGCACTGCTTCTTGGTCTTGATTCCTCCCCAAACCCCATGATGCTGGGGATGGAACCTGGTGCCTTGAGCCAGGCTAGGCAAGTGTTCTACTACTGAGCTGTATTCTCAGCCTTGGTGGTCTTTCTGTAAAGCTGACATTCCCATTCGGTTTTTAGGATATCGTCAACTCCCTGGTAACAACCTTGTTCATGCTCGTTGTGTCTGTGTTGGCTCTCATCCCAGAAACCACAACAATGACCATTCTTGGAGGGGTAAGTCATGCTCTTTCAGCTACTTTCTTCGGGTTTGCAGATTTAGTTGAAAGCCTGGTATGAGTCCAGCGAGGTCTGTCTGCTACATTCCACCCTTGGGACTCCTGGACCAGCATACGGTGCCTACTGGCTTTATATGTGTAAGTGAATGTGTTCCCTGATTAATATGAATAGATAGGATTTCATACTGAACTGGAGTTGGCTAAATAAAGAGGTTCCTACATATTTCTTATAGGTATACACAGCTATATAAGACTGAGGAAAGCTGCTGGAATCAGTCACAACTGTTAGCTCTGAGAAACCTGGTGTCAAGGAAAAAAACATGATGGGCTGGTGTCACAGCTCTCCTTTAAAAGATTCATGTCACTTGTTAGGTGAGAGAGAATATTCTGTTACATCTTCAGATGCTATATAATAGGTTTCCTTACTGCAGGGATGTGGGAGGAAGCTCCTGAGTATGCTTAGAGAGAAACAAGTCACGTAACCAGACTTTATCCTAGAAAACAAGCCAAAATGAGTCAAGCCATTTAATTATGCCTCCATCTGATACTTTTCTGAGATTCAGAGTCATTCGACTTTTCTAGGCTCTTATCAGAGAAGTTAGAAAGTTTTTTCTCAGGGCTGGAGAGATGGCTCAGTGGTTAAGAACACTGGTTGTTCTCCCAGAAGACCCAGGTTCAAATCCCAGCACCCACATGGCAGCTAACAACTGTCTATAATTCCAGTCCTAGGGGATCCGACAGCCTCTTCTGACCTCTGTGGGCATTGCACAACGTGGGTGTGCTTACCTACATGCAGGCAATACATGCATACACATAAAAATAATAAATAAATTAAAAAAAAAAAACTTGTATCACAGCCATGGTCCCCCAGGATTTAATCTTGGGCTGCAATTAGCATTAACTCTTTCCCTAGTTGAGTTTGGTGATAGAGAAATCAAACAGCTCACCACTGGAGAAGAGAAATGTTGACTGATAACCCAATATGGTCACTAAGGCTTAAAAGAACATATGCCAGAGCAATCGAGAGGGAGACAGTTTCCACTTAAGCATTATTTCTCTTTCCTGCAGTTAGTTATCTCCTTTCTCTGTGGGCAACTGTAAGGGAAGCTTGGCAGAGCCGCTTCTCTCTCCAGTGTCGGGTGGTAGTGTACAGAGCCATCTCCATACCCTAGCAGGAGGGAACTCTAGTGGGCACATGACTGAGAATTTGTATGACAGAAGCTGATAACAGTGTCTCTGTTTCCAGGTGTTCGGTTTCCTGACAGTAATATGTGCTATTGCTGATTGTGTCCTTATGTACCAGAAACTTCTGTTTAATCCAAGTGGACCTTAACAGAAAAAGTCTGTTCATGACCTAAATGAATGTTCATAAATTTGCGTTCTTTTTTTTACTAATTATTAAACATATTTCTTTATTTTCCATATATTTTGCAGTTCTTGTTTTAATTTCAGTGTGGGAGCTTTTTGAGTTTCCAGGCTGGCCAACACACATAACCTCCAGGTAGCCACAAGAGTAGCAGACTAATAAGCCAGGCAGCCCGAGCACCAAGGGCAGGTGCACGCGGGGATAGGCTGCCTGCAGCCGTTAGCACTGGTTCCCAAGGGGACAGCCCCAGACTCAGAGCGGCAGGGCCAGCCGGACAAACCCAGGTCTAGGACCTACCATGAAGCCTTCACACGGCCAACGGGAGCACAGCCGCTCTCCCAGAGGGGCTTCAGTGAAAGCTGAAGCCCTGAGGGCTCCTTCACGCTCCGTGTCTCTGAAGTCTGTTACATCCACCATTTCTCACCAGAGACCTCCGGTGCGCTCCACACCATCAAGTAGGTCTGTACTGTCAGTGTACAGAGAACATGGTGCGCCCACAAGGAAATCCACCACACAACTAAAGGCACCACCGTCGTCTACACAGCAGCAGGTGACTAAGAAAATCAAGGTCCATGCATCTATCAAAAGGCGGGCTGAAGGCCGCAACGAGGTCCCAGAGAGATACAGGGACCGTTGCAAGCAGTTTTTCTTCTCAATCCCAGGGATGTTGAAGATCATGAGGATGGTGAGCAGAAGCTGCCTAGTGGAGGATGGGTGGCCTAGGGAGTCATGCGCAGGCGTGCCACCCGGGAAAGTTCCCACTGTACCTTTGCCACTATTTTATTTTTCCCATTCCCCCTTTGTTTGCCCCCACTGTGCACCTCTAAAATAAACTAAAATTGCAGGGTTTTTTTTTTCGCCTCATCTTTTTCTCAGGTTTCTCTTCACAAATGAAAATAGGGAAGTAATGAGGGTAATTAGCAGAAATTTGTAAAACAGCAAATGCAAATGATAAATGTGATCAACCCAAGAACTGTCACCTGAAAGGTCTGTTCAAATGATATACCACTGGCCAATTGAGTCCAGAGGAAAATGGGGCAGAAACTGCATATATTTAAAGTTAGAAAGGAGAATGGGAAAATACTGTGGACACTAGTGCAAGGGAAAGGACCTAGAGAGAGACCTGGCAAACAAGTGGGTAGGGATGAAAACACAAACAACCAGAGCTGGTCCCACAATAGACTGAGCCAAACAGAACAATATATAAACACAGAGGAAAGGGGGTGGGGCTGGCAAGATGGCTGAGTAAGAGTGCCTGCCACCAAACCTGACACCCTGAGTTCAATCCACGGAACCCACATGGAATCAACTCGTGTAAATTGTCTTCTGACCTCCATTTGCCCACATGGCACATGGGTACTTTCTCCCCCGACACACGCACACACACATACACACACACACACATACACACACACACAAATAATAAGTAAATAATAAATAATAAATGTATGTTTAAATTTTTTTAAGATCATTTTCCAAGAAATATTTCTCAAAATGAAATCAGGGCAGACATGTTCACAGGCTAGCACTTTCAGACCTTCACACGATGCCATTCTGATGCTAATCAGACTTTCAAAGAACAAAGATGCATTTCTGAATGATTATTTTACAGCATCAGTCTAACACTGACATCATATCTGATCAGGTTTAGAGAAAGAAAACAAAATAGAAGTTTCAAATATACAAAAGATTAATATATGGGCTGGGGATGTCCTTGCTTACCAAATGTGAAACTCTGGGATGGATCCCCAGAACGGGAAAAAAATTAATATATTAACAAAAAAATAGTCATCAGTATTATTAAAAATATATACCACAAAGAGTAAATATAGGGACATTTTACTATTGGGATTCTTAAAATAATCCACCATGTTGTAAGTAAAAGGGTTGGGGGCTAGAGAGATGTCTCAGCAGTTAAAGAGCATTGGTTGCTCTTGCAGAGGTCCTGGGTTTGGTTCCCAGCACCTACACAGCAGCTAACAACCACCTATAACTCCAGTTCCAGGTGATCAGACACCCTCTTCTGGCCTCTGGGCACTGCATTCACATGGTGTACTTACATGCAAGCAAAATACTAATACACATAAAAAGAAAATTTTAAGTTAAAGGAGAAGAGTTATGAGATTAAGTCAAATAATGTTGCAAATGTGAAAAAATGCAACATTCATTTTTTGATTGCCAGAAAGGAGAAGGAGGAAGAAATCAACAAAGTAAGAATGTATAGCCATTTCATTGACATTATAAAAATAAACATTTTTACCCCCAAATCAGCAAGATCTTTATTTAAATATCAGATGAATTCTTATTAAAATGAAGAAAAGGGGCTGGAGCAATGGCTCAGCAGTTAAGAACACTGACTGTTCTTGCAGAAGACCCTGGTTGGTATCCCAGCAGCCACATGGCAGCTTACAACTGTCCATGACTCCAGTTCCAGGCGATTGACAGCCTCTTCTGTCCTCCTGGGGCATTGCACGACACAGGTGCACTTACCTACATGCAGGCATAACACTCATACACATAAAATAAAAATAATAAAAATAAAATAAATAAAATGAAAAAAAAGGTTCCCACTAGCAATAATATTGTGCTTTTCTGGAATACTAATTATAACTAAAAAAAAAATAGCACTTGCAAAGAGACAAAATATATCATTTCTTTAAGCTAATATGATTGTAAATTGTAAATCCACTGGGAGACCATTTAAAACAAGATACTTTAGCTGAGTGACAATCAAACTGATAAACTAAAAAGTTTCCTATAAATAACTACCTAAAATATAAGAAAATAATTCTCATTACTACAACAATCAAAGCGCAGTACTTGCCAAAGAAATGAAAACCTATAAGAAAACTTTAAAACTCTATTGATAAGGGGAAAAAAAGAACATTAAAATAACCAAAAAAAGCACACTTTGTTCTTGAAGGAGAAGACAGAATTTTGTAATCTTTCCAAATTAAAAGTTAGATGAAATCCCAATTAAAATACCAACAAACTTAGTTTGAGGAACAGGACCAAGATAAACGTGGGTGGCATGAACAGTCTAAGAATGAGAAATGAGAGGACTCTGCCAAACAGCAGTGGTCACAGGTAGACACAGCCTAGCATTTGCACGTACTCTGGGGGCTGGAGAGACGGCTCTTGCAGAGGAACCAAGCTCAGTTCCCAGCATCCATGTCGGGTGGCTCACAACTGCTTGTAAGGCCAGCTCCAAAGAATCCCACATCCTCCTCTGACTTCATGGGCTCCCTGTAGCCCCAGCTGCCCTGGAACTCACTATGTAGACCAGGCTGGCCTTGAACTCACAGCGATACACCTGCCTCTGCCTCTCAAGTGCTGGGACTGAAGGCATGTGCCACCACACCTGGCTTTTTTTATTTTATTACTTGCATATAGATTTTTTAAAAATTTTTTCTGCTTCCCAAGTGCTGAGATTAAAGGCATGTACCACCACACCTGGTTTTATTTATATTTTACATATTTTATTATATATTTGGCATATATTACATGCAATTTTTTTTTCTTTTTTGAGACAGGGTATCCCTGGAGCCCCAGCTGACCTAGAACTCACTATGGAGACCAGGCTGGCCTCTACCTAAGAATATTTTTTAACAGGGCTGAAAATGTAGTTTAGT